CCTGGCCCCCAGTTTCTGTTTTTGAAGAAATTTGCTCCAGTCTCAGCCGCTGTGCGATGAGTGCCCGGTCAACCACGTCTACAAGGTCACCTGCCACCAGCGCTGCGGTCTTCAAGGCGATGCCATTGAGGTCGACCTCAGGGTCCAGGTTGATGCCCCGGTCTTCGATGATGGCTCTCAAGATACCTTCACGCTCAGCTTCGTCAGGGGCTCCCATCTCGAGTTCGTGACTAAATAGTCCGCGAACTCCATCCGGCACCTTGTCGACGTCACTGGTTGTTGCAATCAGGACCCTTGTGTCCTGAAGAATCTCTTTCATCGTTGAAACCAAGCGCTCAGCCGTCAGAGCCTCAACATGCCGGATCAGCAAGGCTGTGGTTTCTGGGCCGCAGCTCATTGCTCTCTCAGCTCTGGTTCGCAGGAGACCCTCTGTCTTTACGTCACTGCCGCTAGTCCCAGCTTCACTGAGAATATCATAGGCGTCGATCGAGTACGTGTGCAGGCCAATGTCTGAACAAGCGTCCGATGCGATAGCCGCTTTTCCAATGTTGCGGTGAGTGGCAGTTACCAGGATCGCAACAGGTGGCATCTTCAGATGAACAGCCCTGGGACTGGTAGCTGCTGCAAGCAATTCCCGCAGACGCCGCCGGAGAGGTGAAATGTAACGCTGATCTTGTTCGGGAAACGTCAGTGATGAAGCACTTGGCGCTTTTGACGGCAATCTCTTCACACCCAGGTAGTATGGCCAGGTGTTGGACTTGGTTGCGGGGAGGCGATGCGTGGCGAATCCAGAGCCGTGCATCGCGACCGACGAGCTGTCGATGCAAGCGACCCCTCCCCACAACTCCTCGGACTGGTCGTTGTCGGCATCAGACTTTGCGAACTGAATATGCCCAACCTTGAACCATGCTACTTGATCGTACCTCGACGATCCTTCTTTCGACAAGGCCATCACGTCGTCAACTTCCGATCCATTGCTTCCGCTGGGCTGCTCTTGAAGAGCTTTACCCAACTGTGTGTCGATCGGTACGGCGATGAGATCGCCAGTCCGTACAAGTCGAATCTTCTGGGCAAAGTAACGCTTAAGACCACCCAGAACCGCCGACTGGTAGGCTCGTTCCGCGGTCACGGGAGAGCGAACATGCTGTATCGTGATATCGCGTGCATAGGGAGGGCGCGATGCGCTGGTAAATTTCGGAAGAGTGCCCTTTCCTTGGTACGTTCCTCGTTTGATGGGTGCTAGTCTGAGATATGAGGGCTCATCGAGGTTTGCCAACAAGATTGGAGAAATGTATGCTGCCGGACTACTGGGTTTCTGAAGCTGAGACTCGAAGAACGACAGCCTACGTTCGCCGTGCTTTGCGCTTGGTATGCGCGTTACTGGACGCTGAGTGTACCCCTCTGGCAGACCGTACACTCTTACAGGCCTCCAATTGGACTCGACAGGCTCGAGTGATGTGAAGCTGCCTAGGCCAAACGCACCGAAACCGTTCGTGGGGGGTTCTTCAGCAGCCTCGACACGGACCCAGTCCCCTGAGAAGCAGCCGATCTTGGACAAAGAAGATATGTCTACGAATATTCTAGCTTCGTCATCGTCCTCCGGCGCCGGTTTGGGATGAAGAAGGTCCACGGGAATGGTACGAATCAGCCCCTGAGCCTTGAAAAGTCGACCTCGGGGCCGGTCTGGACGCGCCGTAGTCGCAGTGAAGTTGGAAAACACAGAGGCGGGGGTGGCAATTCCATTAGTCTTTCGCCCTCTCCCAAGGGTCATCGGAGTCCCTGGCTGCATTGTGGACACGCCACTTGCCGCGGTGGTAGGCAGCGTTGGAGCCTGCAGAGAGATCATGTCGTCCATGGAATCATCGGAGAGGTCGTCATCTTGATCGATGCCGGAGAGTTCCGATTCCTCTGTCTCGGTCACGGAGTCTACCTCCGTGTTCGCAGCGTCGGTCTTGTACCGGTCTTCGGCAGCCGAGTAGAACTGGTCGTTGGCCGTATCATCCTCCTCATCCTCGGGAACGCCGTTCAGGCTTCGGTTCGGGGGGATGGAAGGAGCGACTTGGCCGCGCTTCGTATGTACTCGTCCTCGCATCAAGATGATCTTGGTGCTCTCGGACAAGATACCCTGGCTGACAGGCTCGCAGAGCATAATCTTGCCCGGGTTTGGGGGGATATGGGTGACCGGGTGCGGTGGGAGCGGCAAAGGGAAGAGGTCGCCAGAGTGCAAGACCTTCAGGCTCCCCAATGCGACACGCAAGGCCGAGATCAGGCGGCCTTCGGGAGCATCGGGGTCTGTGGGACCTTTGCCATTCCCATTGCTCGGGTGATCGCGATAAAAGGTGCCTTCGCCCTGCTCCAAGCGCCTCGTCAACTCGCTCTCCAGGCTCACATATACAGTATCAAGCGAGAGGGTGACTACGTCGAGTATTTGAATTTCGATACCGCTGCGGCTGTTGCTCGAGAGTTTCGATGGCGCGACTTGTTGGAGTATCGTGGCGAAGCTCTGCAGTGACAAGGACGAGGGCGAGAACTGGACAGTCGAGGGCTTCAGAGCCGACGATTTGACGACAGGCACTACGGTCCAGGCGGTTTCGGTCGCGGTAGGGCTCGGTTCCCAAGGAGCGATAGCAACATGGTGTACGTCTTCGGAACCATCTTCGTGAGAGAGTTCTGCGCATCGATAGGGTCAGCAGTTGTACATGCGAGATTGGTTGCAATGGGCGCATCCTTACCGTCGCGGAGGTGGGGGAAGAGGTCTGCGAACAGGTCCTCAGATATAATGCCCACGTCCCCCCTTACATTGTGGTCGTCGAGGATCAGCCTGGCTGATATGGCTGGCTTGTCTTGCCTACGTCTTCGTGCTCTCCTGTTTCTTCTCGCCTGGGACGGCGGCGCGAGTTCCGAGGTCGTCATCCTGCTATGTGTACGGCGATGTGTGTAGAGCAATTCAGATGCACATCGCACAGAGGGAGGGATAGGAAGTTATGAAAGTCCGTAGAGAACAAAAAGAAGAGATGGCCACAGACAAGTACACAGTCAATTGATGTCGGGGATATCAGCAGGAGTAGGTATGTGAGGCCATATCGTGATCTCCGTGTTGACAAGCTACGGTTAAGCTATCCAATGGTCCCTGGACTGGGCTATAGTCGGGGCCCGCCCATCCCCAGCTTCGGCTTGGGGAAGTCTGCCTCGGCATTGGCGTGTTGCCAGCTGCAGCCGGCTCACCTCCAACGGCTCCAACCTCCTGGGGTCTCCGCTGAGGGCAGCACAGGCCTCTCGAGTCAAAAAACCCGTGTGGGGGTTGTCTGACTAAGCACATGGTATTAGGAGTCAACCCCGAACAACCTCCGATTCCATGTCCGATAACGCTCCTACAACATACGGAACAGTCCCCAGATGTTTTATACAAAGACCTGACGGCGAAGAGTTATGGCATCCGAATTCTGTGCTGAGAATCGCATGGCCTATGGACTGTCGGCCTACTCTAGCAAAAGGCAAAGTTGCGAGAACCCAGCTGAGACTTAGTACATGCTGGCGCCGAAAGATACCTAGTAGGTAGCACAAGGAAATTCAGCCAGCGAGAGTATGCTACTGTCTACCGTACTAGACAAGCATACAAGCAGGCATCAACGGCACGGAGGATCCCACACTGTCATTCAGTAAGCAGCTGTATTGTGCATTACTTGATTCGCGGCTTGAATACGCATACGATGACGATGAAAAACCCATCTTCGGGAAGCAAGGTACCCAGACGGCCCGCCCTGACCCAGTCGATGGAGACAACAGCGGCTCCAAAGATCCAAATACTCCGTCCAAAACTTACACAGCGTCACAGCCTCACCTTGATAGAAACACAGCCAGGGTTTGCAAGGCCAGGTGGCAACCTCCGAATCTACTGTAATGTTCTTAACACCCTTTATGACGAGAGAAATCCGCTCGTCAGCTTCCTAAAGATCCCAGAGTGCTTTTGTCGATATATCTTGCCACACGAACTTAATGTACAGTCATATACACAATAGAAAATACGATACGAGAATGAACTTGGGCGGGTACAAGACATCGACTGTGCTATTGCGGTCATCGTTGGCTGAGGCAGGCTCCCCTGGGATATGCCATGGGGCTCTAGCCATCACCAGCACTCGCACTCGTATTTCAGATGCTCAGTGTGATTAAGATTTGTCCATGATCGGATGTCATCAGGAAAGTTCATGGCAGGCGCGCGGAACTCGAAAGGTTACGACGATACCTTGCGTGAGGGAAGGCGATTGGTAGACTACCTAGTCGCGAATTCTCGACCCAACTCATTTGCTCATTTCCAGTGAATCAGTAGCACAGATAGAATTGTTCAAGATCGGGTTCATCAGGCTTAATTGATGCTGCGAGGGTCCGCAGACATAAATGATGCTCGTTTCCTAAGAAAAAAACGAGACAGGATCGTCACATGCTTTTTCGTCCAAGTAATTTCACAGCGTCTGGAGACTGGCACCCAATCATGGCACAGCCTTGAGCAAATGCTCCGAACAACACACACAGCAATGACGCAAGCGGGGCTCCTCCCTGTCTAAGCCGCAGACCAGACTGCAGTTACACTCTCTCCCGTCTCTCTCTCACTCTTCCTTCCCGTGCGTTCGGCTGGCTCGACGCTTCCGAGACCTCGAGGCTCAGCCGGCAGCGGCTGGCCGGCGCCTCATTTCTCGCTCTTCCGTCGTCTCTTGTTGTTGTTTTTTGCTGCAGCCAAAGGAAATGACAGGGAAGGAAGACCCGAGAGAGGCGCCAAAAAGAGTTTCAAATGGCAGCGGCTGTGCCTCGTGGACTCCAGGTTACTGCTTCCGTCACCCGTGCTTGGGATTCAAGGCGCAACTTCGTAAGGCATGGCCAATGTCACCCTGGAGCATGAGAGTGAGCGCGATGGAATTCGATCTGGACCAACACCGACGTCAATCACACCACGATTCTTGCGGTGAGACCGACTGGTCAATAATCGAGAGCAATGCTTTTTGATGGCTGCTACTTGCAAATTGCCCCTTATCTTTGTTGGTCTCCAATGTCCCCTAGTTCGCCTCTCTCCCTTTTCATCCACCCGCCAACCCGTTCGTGCCGTTTTAGCTGCTTTCCAATTACCTGACGAGGACATTACTTTGAATATCCCTACCCGTACATCCCCAATTTACTTTCACACCCCCCCACGGCCTCCCACCCTTCTACGTCCCGGATCTACACTTTTGCTTCCCTGCCTTGGACAATCCTCGACACCATCTCCGTGATGCCTGTTCATGCCATCAGTGGCTGTAAAAACCACCATTGACAAGCAGAACTCTACCTCAATCAATATCTTACCAACTTCATCTCATATCCTTATTCAGTCGCGCAAAGAAAGCGACCACACTCTTCCTTTCCGCGCTCGAATCCCTCCAGAAACGAAATTGTATAGTTCTCGCGTTTGTTGCCGATCATCCCTTTCCCTGCGCGACCGTCGCATACAATCTTGTAACCCCCAAACGTCATGGGCAACTTTTCCGAGTCCCCGGAGCGCGGCCGAGAACGGCTACACGACAATGGCATCGCACACGCTGCTATCGAGTTCGCCCAGCAAGCCGAGAAATTGTCACTGCAAAAAAGCGAGAGTAACAACAACAATTCCGAGGTTGCGGTCGAAGCTCGCTTCGTAACACCTCAAGATCCCGTCATAGTCACATCGGACGGCAAGAGACTACCGGGTGTACCACTTCAAGAGGCACACAAGTTGAACATTCTCAAGGAAGAACTTCAAGACGGTTCAGCTGTGGCCAAGATCAAGGAGGGAAATGACACGGACGGAAAGGTCACAAACGCCGGTGTGCTATCAGAGAAACGAGAGAGGATTGTCTCTCTACCGACCGATGCAAATGGGAAATCCATGCAGAAATCAGGTGAAGCACCTCTTCGTCGCCAAACACCTCCCTCACATACCAACCCATTGTTTCCGCCTCTACCTCTCTACGGGCCTCCGTCAATGTTTCGTAATTTTCAATGCTTGATATTCCGTGTTTCAGCATTCTTCCTCAGTTTGGCCTTTCTCGGGGTCATTGTGCTTGGTGCGCTCTTCACCAGCATCCCACCGCTGTGCAAGAGGATCTTATATCGCCTGACACTGCAAAATCCCGATAAGAAGAGGCCCTTCCACGAAGAGGAGGCACGCAGAGCCAAGAGTCGCAAGGAGGAGAACAAAAAATGGAAGCGCAACAAGACCAGCGACAGGCTGGGTAAAGTGAACGAAGCTGCTGATGAGTTCGTTCCGACTGAAGGGGGACCAGACCCGATCGTCTGTGACGTGGGCTATTACGCTCGCCGTGTTGGCCTGGATGTTGAGGAAATCGTGGTGCAGACCGAGGACGGCTTCCTCATTGACCTCTGGCACGTATACGACCCCAAGGAATACACAAGAATGAGCGAAGACGATAGGTCCGACAGAGGACCCGACATCTTCCAGTCTTCCAAGAAAAAGCTCAAGGATCCTAGTCAGAAGCGCAAGTTCCCTGTTCTGCTCATCCACGGTCTCCTACAAAGTTCCGGCGCATATTGCACAAACGACGAAAGTTCGCTCGCGTTCTACCTGTGCAAGTCTGGCTACGACGTCTGGCTGGGCAATAACCGATGCGGCTTCAAGCCAAAGCACACCTCGCTCAAGTACACCGACCCAAGGATGTGGTGCTGGAACATCCGACAGATGGGCGTCTTTGATCTGCCGGCGCTCACATCGCGCGTGCTCTACGAGACCGGCTTCGAAAAGATCGGGTTGATCTGTCACTCACAGGGCACTACCCAGACGCTGGTCGCACTCGCCAAGGAGCAACGGCCAGACCTAGGCGAAAAGTTGACCGTCTTCTGCGCGCTCGCGCCGGCCGCCTACGCCGGTCCCTTGATTGGCAAGATGTACTTCAAATTCATGAGGATCATCACTCCGGGCATGTTCAGGTTGATGTTTGGCATCCACGCCTTCATCCCCTTCATGATGCAGATGCACCAACTGCTTCACCCAAAGGTCTACGGCTGGCTCGGGTACAAAGTCTTTTCTTTCCTCTTTGACTGGACGGACACGAGGTGGGATCGCGGTCTCAAGGATCGCATGTTCCAATTCGCACCCGTCTACGTCAGCGCGGAGTCGATGCGCTGGTGGCTGGGCAGAGAATGCTTCGCGCGACACAAGTGCATCCTCTCAACAAAAGAAGACGTCCGCGCCGAGGAGAAGGAGGATAACATCAACGGCCAGGGTGCCAACAACACCAACGGCAATAGCCACACGCTCCGAGCCGACGATGCGGACGGCGTCATGTCGCAACGGACCGTAGACGACCACGTCCGCAGACCGAAGGGATCCACAGCTTGGTACAACGAGCAAGTGCCCCCGTTTGCGCTCTGGGTTGCGGGCAATGACGACCTCGTGGACGGAAAGAAGCTCCTCCGCCGCTTCGAACGCGGGCGCGAGCCGCACGTCAACGTCGTGCACAGCAAGGTCATACCAGAGTACGAGCACCTCGACGTCATTTGGGCCATGGACGCGCCGGAACAGGTGTTTAAGGAGGTGCGCGAGGTGCTGTGGAAGACGTGCGACGTCAGGGACGCGTGCCGGGTGCCGGTGGCGTGCGAGGAGGTTGAGCAGTGGATACGGCCACCGCCGAGGAAGCTTGCTAATGGAGCCGTGGAGGAGAGCCAATCTAGCAGTGACGAGACCGAATAGAGGTCGGACTCGTACGGGAAGCGACAGTGATTTCTATCAAGCCATGCCGGATCTGTTTTGTGGGATACACTCTTGACTTATAGATACACAAGCTTTGGCTTTCTTTGGAGCGGCGGGTATCGCGAAGGAGTAAACGGTGTTGGCGCATTGGAATACATCACTTGGGAATAGGGATATCAGACGTATAACCAATGAGTAATGGTAATGAAATGAGCTCTGATTAAGCAGGATATGGCACCACTGCCAGTGATTTGGAGGCCTGAACACATAGATCATGACACCAAACATCAGTGCAAGTCTTGGAACAAAAGCACATGTGCGGCCGATTCGACGAGGAGACCTAGCATACCGTCTGAGATGAGAGCTATAGGTTTTCCCCTCAAAAACATCAAACGACCCGCTTCACCTGCAAACATCATCCAACATCGTTCCATCCCCTGAGCCCCTACTACTCTTGCACAATGACTATGCGTCTCCCACAGGCTTCCCATCGTTCTGCGGCACTGCCGCTTTAGGCCTGGAAGCTATTTCTGCCTCCTTCGCCTTCGAACCCCCAGCATCCTCCTTCTTTGCCTCAGTGGCCTTGAGCTTCGTCTCGGTTTCACTTTCTTCTTCGTCTTCTTCACTGTCCTCGCTGCTGTCGTCGCTATCGTCTTCTTCGTCGTCGTCCTCCTCCTCCTCGTCATCATCTTCTGCAGGCGGCGCTGCCTTGACTTCCTTCGCAGGGGCCGAGGTCTTCTCTGTCGCGGCAGCCTCCTTCGGCGCAGCTGTCTTCTCCGCCACATCGGGCTTGGTAGTGTCCTCGGCTTCCTCCTTTTCCGGTTCCTCCTTGATAGTCTCGGCCTTCTCGACCTCGGCAATCCTCTTCTTCTCTTCCTCTTTCTCTTTCTTCAACTCTTCCTCTTTCTTCGACGCTTCCTCCTTCTCTGACTCCTCCTTGATGGCCTGGGCCTTCTCGACCTCTGCAATTTTCTTCTTATCCGACTCTTCCTCGTCGGAATTCTCCTGGCTGGGCTCTTCCTTGATGGCTTCGGCCTTCTCGACTGCGGCAATCTCTTCCTGCGATGCAGAAGCCACCTCGGCGCCCATGTGGACCGTCACGGGCTTATCGACGTCGGAGGGCTTCCACCGGGCTGTTGTCGGCGACTGGAGTGTCTCGCGCAGAGCGTCTGCATTGGTTGCCGTATTGGCAGTGATACCCCAAGAGCCCGTAGTCGGCGATTGAAGACCGAGGGGTTTGGCGCTCTGGGACGACGAATCACTGCCAGTGCTTGCTACGGAGGGCTTTCGGGGCGTTTCCGGGGTTGCGGTCGTAGGTTCGGCAGCGGCTTTGGCTTCGGCCTTCTTTTCGGGCTCAGCGGCGGTCGTTGTTGCCGCGGATGCAGCCGCAGCTTCGTCCTCGGCCCTTTTATCTGCGGCTGCCTGTACCTTTTCGCGCAGCGATTTCAGCCGGATTTCCTTAGCCCTCTTGGCTGCCTCGTCGGCGATGGACTGGTGGGACGCGGTAGTAGCACTCTCGACAGGTGACTTTGGCGTATTCGCTGGCTTGTCTTTGGCAGGCGCTGGGGCGCTTGATGTGTCGTCCTTGGGCAAGGGAGGCGCCGGCGGTGGCGCAGGAGCGGATGAGGAAGACTCAGATGAGGAGGCAGCGGCAGCGGCTTTCGCTGCCAACGTGCCCTTTGGTACCTTTTTGACAATTTTCTTCTTGACGATTTCCTTGGGCTTGTTGTTGATATCGGGGATGGTGAATTCGTCGTAGTAGATCTTGACATGTTGCTTGAGTTCGCCATATTCGTTCCATTCTTCGATCTCGACGATGTCCTGGTAGAAATCATGGTGTCAGAAGATGGTTTCTCCTCGGCAAGCCCAAAGTGCCTAGCACCGAGTGAAGGGGTGAGTCTTACACCGAGGACGAGGCCTTCTTGTATGAGGGCTGGGAGCTTCCTGGGTCGACCCGAGGCGTCTTTGCCGGCACGGCGGCCCCAAAGCATGCGGGCCTTGTCATCGGTGGAGAGATCGATGGCTTTGAAGGGGACGCGGTTGGCGCGCAGGATGGTCTCGAGACGGGACGTGGCGGTCACGATGTGCATATTCCCAGCGGTCAAGGAAGTGAAGATCCACAGGGCCGGATCGGTAGAGAAGGTGGTTGCAGTCAACTGCGCCATGATGCTGGATTTGGTATGATTCGAGGCGGGTCGATTCGATGGGATGCCGGGAAGAGCTCCTAAGCGTGAGGAGAGGGGAGGAAAGGGACAGCTACTGGGAAGCTAAAAGGGGTCAGATTCGAACAGTATGAGCTGAGGAAATATCGAGATGTAGATGGCAAGAATGGCGGCACAAGACAAGGCAATATGCATGGTGGGGAGCCTTGCATTACGTACCTTGTGACTGATTGTTCTTTGGGGTTCTCGATGACATGTAGCTAGCTGCGTTCCAGTGAGACGATGCAGTGCTGCATGATACGCCGGTAGCGGTTCAGCGGCTGCTGGTGGGGGTTCCACGCAGATGAAACTCGAAGGGTCGTGGCTGGAGACGGTTAGTGCTCACCTCTATGTACAGCGGCTTGTGGCTCTGCCTTCAAGCAGAGAACCTAAGTTAGCTTACCTAAGGCACGCGGGGGCGGGGTCAGATACGTATCTTAACTCCGTACATACAGATATCCGTAGATTACAGTGCAGCGGTGTTGACCTAAGGTATAAGGTACTTTATGCTGGCTGTCTCTCAACTCTGAGGTACGCCGTGAGGTTGAAGATCAAAGGAAGGTATTCAGGCTCATAGTGTCTTTCCCTCTTGCCTGACTGGACGCTTGACAACGCAGCTGCGCCTGATGAATCGAAAGAATGGAAAGCGGCCAGAGTGAGGTGGCTTCCCAAATGAGCTGGCAAGACAAAGCTGCATGATGAGGTGTTCAAAAGTAGAAAGCGTCACGCGGTAAGCGCCGTCCACCACCAACTTGGCTTTCTTCCTACCTATGCTATCGAATATTCGTCACCAGGACTTTAGCGCCATCACTTTACAACTCTTGAACAGTTTCCTCTACGCATGTCCCACATGTATTTTCGGCTTGACAACTCCAGGCAGCATCACTGCTGCAACACTTTTCCAACATGACTACGATGCCAAGTACTTCACCACTGCGACTTCATCCTTCTTCACATAGAAGAACCTCAAGCCCCAAGACTTCTTGATCTCAACAACGACGGAAAGAAAGAAAAAGGTCAAGAGGACTGGCTGTTGACGTCCGTCCTTCTTGTCACATATCAGACATACCTCTTGTTTCCACCAGATCCTACTGGCACCATATGATATGGCAGCCATCAGCAAGCTACCACATGGGAAACAGCGCGATCCCGAAGTGCTTCGAGCGCTAAAGGCAACGTCAAATTGAGCATGACAACAAATATAGAATTCAGACGATTTGCCGGCGATTGAATAGACAAAATGGCAAACTCAATGTGACACCGTTCAAATGGCCTATGCGCAGTCACTAACACGCCGACTTTGCCGTACAATAGGTTGACGAAGTCATTCACACTTCATTGCAAACACCCCCAACAGGGCGCCCAAACAACCGCGGCAAGGGCTTCCTTGCAGTGAGCCGACTCCTCAATCAAACACTTCACGAGAGGCCATTGCCGTTGTTGCATTCAACGTGGTGGCAGAATACACAATCGCATGATCTGACGACAAGGTCTAGAAGCGACAAGCAAATGTTTCAAAGTCCCATTCCAGCTTCGAAAAGCCGTCCCAGACACCTGGCGCTCTGATGCCAAACTTTCCATAATTTGTCCCAAATGTTCACCCTTCTACGGGGTCACGACATACTCGCATAATCAACTCTGGATCAGGCTGCTGTGAGGATACTCTGTGGCGATCGCTGTCAGAATCCGTATTCAGAGGGGCATTCTACATCATCATCTTCTTCTTCTTCGCAGACCTTCACAAAACCCACTTGTTGGCACCTTGGCCTCATTTCGCAAGAAGAGAAGCTATCCACGACACCTACGCTTCTGAACCTGGTTAAGCTAGCTGGATAAGGAATTTTCTGAGCCCTTGCTTCGAAAAGACTGGCACCCTCCAAAGCGTTGCATATCCATGATCCCCCCCTCTGAGCGGGAAATGGCGGTGGAGCCCCATGATTGAGATCATTTCTCGCGACGATTCGCAAGTGCTGCGACAGGGAAGCACTCTGGAAACAGCTTATGGTTACTCAAGACGACGTCGCCGGATTGGCTGGGCGAGGGTCAATCTGACCGATGTTTCTCTCTTATAACCTCAGGCTCTGGGTCACACCAAACCGCGCAATGACCGTCCAAAGAATGGAGAGAGACCTGAATCTCAATCGGCCGAGCGATAACAACGGCACGATACACATCGTCATTGCAGACGGAGACACTTTTGATGGTGTGCCTGTGGTCAAATGCTGAAAACCACGCCAGCATCTGTGCAAATACTGTGCTTCTCCCTGCAGTCGCACGATCCCAAAATAAACCGGTCGAGCGGCTCAGGACGGGCTAGATCTTTCGTCGACTCCTCCAGGCTAGCAGGTTTCCCATCGGTCAACGGATAATAAACGGCGTTGGCGCCATGGCGGGAGCGCAGAGCAATGGCTTGATTCCCGAGGGTGGTGGCTGCACCCAAGCGGTTGTTTATGGCGTCGAGCAACAGCTCTGAGTCCTAACACAAAATATAACATCATCTACTCCGTACGGTGTGGGGGAATGGAAAAGACGTGATGACGATGAAAATCCTTGGTCTCGCTGGGCAATGATTGGCAAGCGCATTTCCCACGTCGCCCACGTTCCGACGGAGAGGGATCCAACACCCGGTCGCCTCGTGCAGCAAGCCAGCGAAAGGAAGAGAAACATGGCAACCAAACAACGCAGCATCGACCAGGTCTTGGCGTCAATGATGACCTGGAGATTCTGTGGCGGCTCTGACTGGTCCTGACTCTGCCATCTGCTCACAAGTTCGGATGAGTTGTTTTTCAATGTACCAGGATACGCTGTTCCTGCATATAGCTAGCAGGGGTTCTGGAGGCGATCTGCCAGGGCTCTGCAGGCACGAACCAGTGGGAGCTGCAGGCTGAGAAGACCAAGAAAATCTAGAGCAAGGTCCCGTCAGCGAAGCCGTGAAGCGCAAGCTTGCGCCGTGCAGTGCCGGCCCACCGCCATGTCTGTGTAGCCAATCACCCGGGCCACCACCGACGACGGGATCCTGCGTCCTGCGGACCCAATTTTGGACACGATCCCTTCCATGGGACTTGGTGCCGTTGCCCGGACTGACCAGCCGCTTCTGGTTCGTTGACCCAAGGCCTGGCCCTGGGACATCGGACAACACCCACAGGCCTCATCTCACGTCTCTCTGCGCTCCTCTGGCCTTCCCGGGGCTCTACGGATACGGATGCACTGCTTGGGTGCTATCAATGGGACACCTGAGATAGAGGGACACGCGAGAAGAGCCGGACCCTGTCGTGTTTATCCGCTATAGCCTACCTTTCAGCACTCAAGGATCAGCCTGTCGTGTCTCCGAGTCTCATCTCCTCGGCTCCTCAGAAAGCTCAGCTTCTCCTCTCCACTTCGTACTGTGGTACGGATAGGACTCTCTCACAACTCTGACAGTTGGATCAGCACTACAGCAGAAAGCAGCGTCGCATTCCCCCAAAGGCAAGGCAGGGAAGGCCCCCATGGTCATTTCGCCCCTGGGGTTGTTCGGCTTGCAGCCTTGCTTGCTTTGGTAGCGGTTATTAGCATAATAACACTTGAAAAAAAGCAAAAGCAAAGCCGAGCAAAGCGCACAGAGCGACGAGTCTGGCCCCCATGTCCTCGTTCGCGCGCCCACTAGTCACCCACACACCCTTCTCTTTGGCCGCGTCGACCACCAACGGGGGACAACGGGGGGAGGGATGGGGGCCATCGGGACGGGACCCTACAGGCACAGGCATACCAGAGACAGGAAACGCCGTGTCGCCCAACGCTCGCAAAATTTCCGCCAGCCCACACGCCCAGCGGCGCTTGTGCTGGTTGCCCACACAGTTCTGCTGGAGACGGGGCGCCGGGGGCGGTAGGAGGAGTCAGGACTCAAAGGACCTGTGTCGTGGTTGTTCGGCCGAGTCGTGAAAAGGAGAAATACCTCGCCTGCCCCCTCCCACACGCCTTACACTCTCGCTTCTGTTTCCTCACCGTTGCTCTCCTTACCGCTGCGTTCAGTGCCCACACTCTCTTGCAACTGCTCTTCGTCATCGTGCCTTTTTTGCTGCACATTACTCTCATTCAGATTTATCAATATCGACAAGACAGTACCGTCATTCCCTTGACATTGCATTCATTAAAGGCACAAGCTTTGCACGCTCACGCACAATTCAACCCGGTGGAAACTCGTCAGCTTTGGTCATACATTGACTTATATCGATTCTCAAAGCCTACATAACTTATCCAACCAAGATCAATCAAAATGCGTTTCACTAGCATCTTTGCTCTCCTGGCCGCCTCGGTCGCCGTTGCTCAATCCGCGGATGAGAGCACCACGACCATGACCGCCACCACCACCAAGACGGTTACCATCACCAAGTGCAACCCGACCAACACTGCGTGCCCCTTGTACACGCCGACTTCGACTGTTGCGCCTACCATCAACTCGACGACCTCCACGCCCGTTTCCACCTCCACCTCGTCGTCTTCCTCTTCTTCTTCGTCGTCGTCCTCGTCCTCGTCCCACTTCTACCCGGCTGCCAACTCCACCAGCTTTGCTGGCCCGACCGCCTCGGCTCCTTGGACCAAGTCTACCGTCCTTCCCATCAAGACGTCTGCCGACTCTTCCGCCCCCACCTCTGCGGGCAGCGCTGTTCCTTCCGCACCTGCAAGCGCCGCCTCTGGCCTTTTCGTTCAGAGCGGTCTGATGGCCGCCGTTGTCGGTCTCGCTGCTCTCGCGCTGAACTAGACGGCTTACCTGGTCGTCAAAGAGCAACTCAGAATTCGCAACTCTCAGTCACTTCACATTAATTCGATTCACGACTGATCTCACTATTATTCTCAGGGGATAGGCTGATTGGAGACCTTTTATTTTATCAACGATTCTGGGTGTTTTGGAAAGCGGATTGGAGCTTCGGCTACCGGGTGGCCTTACACTTCTTGCCATAGACTTATTGTTTGGGTGTCGGGTGAGT